TTGAATGCCGAATGCCGGTTTAAATACAGAGTGTTGCGTGTGTGTGTGTGTGTGTGGACTGCAACTGACAGGAACATTTTTTCAGTGGACTATTCGGCAGGGTCGGAAGGTCGAAGCCTTTTGATTTCTCCTCCCTCCTTTCTCCTTCCATTTATTCTCCTCTCTCTCTCTCTCTCTCTCTGTGAGCAATGAATAGAAGCGAGAGAGAGAAAGAGAGAGAGAGAGATATTTCCACTATCTTTTCATATCATCTTTTTTTGTAATTAAAGCTATACATATTATATATGTGTGTGTGTGTATATATATATATATATATATATATATATATAATTCACTGTCTCTCGCTTTCTCTCTCTATCACAGACTCTCTTAGAGTCCAGCTTTACACAAAAGGTAGAGAGAGAACGCCTTTACTAGTGCAACCAAGGCCACGAGCGTGTGTGTGTGTGCGCGAGTGCACACACATGACACATGTACTTTGGTGTGTGTTCATAGTAGCACAGACAAAGGTGTGAAGGAGTGTGTTGTGGGTGGGCGCTGTTACATTTTACTGGCCTTGACTTAAGACACAATTCAACAAAAGAGAAAGCGTGTGTGTGGTTTTCTATTTATTGTGTATTTTTTGAATTTGTGTGCATGTGTGTGGATGTGAGTGTGTGTGTGTTCACTGGGTTGTGTGTGATCTTTGTATTTAATTTGACAGTGTACATATGGCCATGTTGTGTGTATTTTGTACTTGTGTATATTTAAAGGTGTGTGTGTGTGTGTGTGTGTGGGTGTGTGTGTGTGTGTGTGTGTGTGTGTCTGCCCGACTCCCCAAGGCACGCTTGAGAGTGGTGTGAAGGTGGTAAGAGTGTGAAACCACCCACGGTGACACACACCGTGACACACACACAGACACACACACACACCCCAGCCGCCTTCGCAGTGACCTCACTCTTGTAAAAATGTGTTGTGTCCAATTTCTGTGCTCACCGTTCCGTCTGTGTGCCCGAAACAAAATGCTAGAGCAGAAAGTGACAAAAAGTAAAGGGGGAGACAGAGTGATCGATGAGTGTGAGCAAATGAGCTGGCAGCTGAGAGGAGACAAAACATACTTCGGGGAGAGATGGGAGATGTGTTGGAGCCGACAAGGTGTTGTTGTCCATGCAGAGTAGAGGGGTGCCCAACAGGTGGGACGCGCGACAAACTAGGCTGCAAGCCGAGTTTCGGCCCACAAATTATTGTTGATTATTTACAATTTTGGCAGTGTATATATTTACATTCAGCAACCACAGACCAACAATACAAATCCTCAAATACAAATACAAAATCAAATACAAATTGCCTCAATTATAATATTAAGAGGGAGCGGGTGTTGCAACGTTTTTTTGTTTTTTGTTTCTACATGTCTACGCCACACAGTACATGGCGACACGGTCTTCTAGCATTCGTGAAGAAATAGTCTAGTCTAGGTTGATAATGACTTTCATTTTAGGACTTTTATTCCTTCTACATATACATAAAGGGCAGCAAGTTGAATTGCCTGTGCAACAAAGCATTTCGTCGTTTTTCAAATTGAAAAATCTAAATGATATATATATATAATTCAGATCAAATGAAGGTGAAAGCTGCCGTCTATTGTGTGCCGAGATTGCCTCCGTGCCACGATAAGTCAAACATTATTTATTTTGTCTGTGGCATTCACCTGGCATCGGGTTTTCCGACCGCCATCACATCATACATCACTACTTCACTCGCCTTCACCCGTTCACCCCTCTGCTTTCAATCTTTTCTTCTTTTATTTTCTTTAGTCATTCATTTATTTTTTTCTTCATTGAATGTTTTACCATCGCTAACAGCTTTGGCGGCGATCGACTCAAACACGCACGTGCACACACACACACACACACACACACACACACACACGCTCCAGGAGGGATGCAGTACTAATCAAAATGTACCGACATTTTTTAATTAAAGTTTTTGCTTCTTTTATCTTCTGACAACCTAAAAGCGTAAAAGACTATTTGTCCGACTTGGAGACATCATGAAACAGCATTGCAAGATTGCAGCATTGGACTTCACACACATTTGGCATTGAGTACTTCCGTAGATCGCTACTGTTCTCTGCAATGGCTTTTCTGTCGACAAAAAACCCTGAAATGACTAGCAGCAATTTCTTCAACACACAAAAAAACCCTGGCTTCTTTACTCCCCCAATTCTGCCGGTCTCTCTGATGTTTGGCAGGATAAAAACATGAGTGACGAAGTCAAGTTCAGACGCAGGAAGAGTTGTCTCCCGCTGCTCGGATACAAGGTTGCCATGGCGCCCCTGGGGTGGACGAAAAATAGCGGGAAAAAAATATCAGGAAATGGTTTAAACGATTCAGATGAGTCTGTTCTGTCATGGTGACTTTTTGGTGGAAGATTCGGGGCAAAGACCAAGACTCAATTCGACTCTTGGGGTAGGATAGTGCGCTGGCTCAAGTGTCTGTCTCACAGATGAAAGGTACCGGGTCCGATCCCCAGTGTCCGCAGCTCAGCCTGTAGGCATGCCCAAACTCCTACCTGCTCATTAATGACATGTATCATAAATTCACCAAAAGTTGCTTTTGGCTAAAAGCATCTGCTAAATAATAGGGGTGTCCCCGACTAAGAATTTACATAGTCGAATCTGATTCGTCAAGTCTTGCCTATAGTCGACTGATCATCGAATCATGTTTTTTTCTCTTTTTTTGCTCATTGATCCATATTCTCATTTGCGACATTGGCGGTGCACACCGCCTCTGAACAGGCGCGCGTCAAAACAGCCGCCCCTATTATTTTCTATGTACATCCCGACCCCGGCGGCAGCAGCGACGCGCCGCCCCGCGACATTTCACGCCACTGTCCTATTTCACAGCGTTGCCGCGCGTCAAGTGTCACCGAAAAGGCGTTTTTTTCTTTTCTTTTGTTTTTATTCTGCTCTGGAGACGACTATATTCCTGTTGACGCGCCGCAGCGCGACGCTTCCTATGTGTGCTAGGGGCGGCACTTGTGTCATAGACGCGCCGCGGTGGCAGTGTGTTTTGCACTTCATATAAAATTCATATTATATTCATATAAAAATAGGCTATATATGATTTATTGGGAGAAATAAACTATATGTAAAATCAGACATTCAGCACCGCCTATAGCCCGAATGGAATGATCCTGTGTTTTGCCGACGATTCGACTATGAGATTGGCAGTCGAATCAGGCTCCTTCGATCGAATCGTCGAATAGTCGACTATTCGGGGTCACCCCTACTAAATAGTGAAGGAGGCTTAAACAACAACTTGATGATTTTGGAAGAGATTAAAAAGGTGGAGAGAATGAAAACATCAGAAAAGTCTGACGTAAAGGATATAATGAAATGATCCGCCCTGGCATTGTGAGGGCTTTAAAGGGAGAACTTGGGAAGGGCGGAGGGGGTTATGTAATGTGGGCTTGGCTGCGGCGGTGGCTGCAGCGGTGTTGTTTAGCTGCCACTCGGCTCCTCTTTAACCTGCCGAAAAACAGCAACATCAGCAGCACAGGATTGGGGTTAATCCTCTTAGTAGGATTCTCTCTCTCTCTGTCTCTCTCTTTCTGTCTCTCTCTCTCACTGTCTGGACCCTTCCAATCCACAATCCCCCCCAGGTGTGGTCAAAGTTGGGTCAGCACCACAGCCCAGAGATAGTCTCCAGTTTCTCTGTCCCTCTATGTCTCTCTCGCTCTCTCTCTGTCTCCCACTAATTCCACCTAACTCTTCGTCTTTTTCCATTGACGGTGGACCTTCATAAAGACTGTATTTAAAAAAAGAGGGGATCATTTATAAGTATCCTCTCTCTCTTTGTCTTTTTCTTCGACTGCTTCTTGTCTTCCTTGAAAATGCCGTACAAGGTAGTGGGATGACAAGTGGAGATGAGAGATGGCCACACACACACACACACACGCGCATACACACACACATTATCTTTGTCATGATAATGTTTGAATCATTAGATTTGATTAACTGTATTACTACCCAGCAAGGTGTCGTTATTAACAGAGAAAAGCTGGAGAAGTTAAGCAAGAGACAAGTTATTAAAGAGCTAAACTAGGCTCTGTAGCATACAGTTGATTAAAAAAGGCAAGGAAAAAAAAACAATCAGGGTCCTCAAGCTTCTGTGTGTGTGTGTGTGTGTGTGTGTGAGAGAGATTGAGTTTCATTGGCTATTCTAGCTCAGACCTCTGGCGTTAATGCAACTCTTTGCTTTCTGCCGTTGTTCAAAAGGCTCTTTAAATGTTTCTATCACTCTCTCTCTCTTTCTCTCTCTCTTTCTGTCTCACTTTCAAGTTTATTCTCATTTGCACATTAATGGAACAACGAGCCACTAATGGCGACGTGAAGGCTCGAGTTTCAGGTTTCCTCAATAGTGCAAACAAGTAGCCGACAAAACATAAGTAAAAAAGAAAGAATGTGCGCGACGCGACGCGCGTTACGTGCGGCGGGCCGCAGTACCTTCAGTGCCGCCGCCGCTAAGACTCTAATCCATGCCTCCATCTTCGGGTCGATTCCCCTGGGGGTTCAAGGGAGACGTGGCGGGGCGGGAAATCGATCCCGCTATCTGCCGCTAATTCTCTTATCGCCGCGGAACATGCTGTGAGACGCGGCAAAAACTTTGTCAGTCGTTTTGCGAATAGAAACACAACAGCAGTGGAAGTCACCGGTGTGACGGTAGTCAAGATAAACTGGGGAAAAAAAAACAAAAAAAAACGCTTGCTTCTGTTTTGTGTTTTTAACGTGAAGATGTATTTAACCACCGACCTATTTTGTGACCTCATTAAGCCTTTGAGAACGATCTCGCCGCGAGGGCGCCCTTCAGCCCCCCCTTCCCAACATGCGTACTCCTTTTAATCCCAGACTCTCACAATACAACATAGAAAGATAGGTGAGATTTTAAAGGGTAGGTTCAACCTACCCTTTAAAATCTCATGTATCTTTTTAATCTTTCACGTATTTAGTTTTTTGCCTGGTGGGGCATTATCTAGCGGTTAGGGTATTGGATTCCCAGCCAAAAGGTTGTGGGTTCGAACCCCAATGTCCACAGTACCTGTAGGCATCCTACCTTCTTATTAATAACATATACAGTATATTGGCTTGGATAAAAGTGCCTGCTAAGTCTGCTAAATAGTAAAATGAATAAGTAATAATAGCCTGGTGAAAGGCGAGACGAGAAATTAATAAAAAAAAGACTTGAAGCACGGAAGGAAGAGGGGAGGGTGTGAAGAAGTATGCTGAACAGAAGGTCAGAAATAATAAAAAAAGAAACTGAAAGAAAACCGATGAAAAATGTGAGGCGCTAATGGACATGGACAGAATGAGGATAATGAGGATGGACAGAAAGCCAATGAAATGGATATATTTTTATATATATATATCAAATAATGTATAACTTTTAGATAAAAGTTCTGCATACGCAGTGATTTCACCTCTGTATCCCAATTCTGTCTTCTATCATTGGCGGATGTTCGTTAGTGTCCTCGCCGAACGTATGGATGCTCCAGATGTTTGTTTGGGTCTGGGCCCTTATTGTGTTTTCATCCCATAGGCGGATGGATACACCCAGAATTATCAATTAAAGTGCATTGTTTATCTGATGTATAAGAGGCGCAAATGAGTGGACTTGAGGGTGGTTGTTATTGCCGAAAGATACGCATATGATATGACTGACACACACTGGTATGTTTTCGTGCACTCAGACACACTTCTGTGCACAAGCCTTCCTTCGAAGTGTGTGCGTGTGTGTGTGTGTGTGTTTTCTTGTTTCTCACACATCACAGAGACACACATCCAGTTAATTAACTGTATGCCTGTCAATGTGGCCATTTGGTATGGTGTGTGTGTGTGTGTGTGGTTAATAGAAAGTGTTCTGCAGCAGCGGTCCCTATAGATGGTTGTCTCAGATCCTTTAGACCCCCCCCAACCGATCAATATCAGTTTGAGCGATCGATGCGGGTCGGAGAGGGGCAGAGAGGCCAGCACAAGGTCGATTGTTTTTTCTGTGTTTTTTTGTTTTTCGTTGTTTTATTTGTTTAGCTGTGTTCGGATACTTTTTTTGGCTGGACCGGCAGGCCAGCCCTAAATCCGCAGCACTCTGTCACTGAGTGAGTGAGTGAGTGAGTGAGTGAGTTAGTGAGTTAGTGATAGTTACACCATTGGTCGGAGTGAGTGATGACGTGGTTGTTGCTGTTTCCCCATTGGGCGTTGCTCCTTCGAAAAATAAATAGGCGCTCTTACAGACAGTCCTCTCTTACGTCCTCAGAGCAGAGCCTTTACATGCGCTCTGTTTATTTACTTGTTTTTAAATCTTTCTTAAGGTGTGATTTGTTGGATATGTGGTGGCATTGTATGAATTGAATGAATCATTTGATAAAGAACACCCTCACCACTACCACACACCTCCTATTTTCAAATCCCTTTAAAAGGGGAAGTCATAGCATCTGTATTTTTAGCTGTCGTGGAGAAGGAGTAGGAAGGAATGCGTTGTGTGTGTCAGAGTGTGGCAGAAGGGACACGAGTGTAAGAAAAAAAAAGACACACACACACACACACACACACACACACACACCATCTTCCGCCTTGGGCCACTTTTCTTTAAATGGCCCCTATTTTAACACCAGGTGTGAGTGTGATGAGCCATTACAAGCCATTTTGGAATCTGCCCTCTAGTGACATCACAAGTGGGAGTGTCCACCTAGATGTAAGGTGGATAGATCAGCCTACCAGTTGGTTCAGTCCACTGGGTAGGCTGGTGGACACTCCCACTTGTGATGTTACTAGAGGGCAGATGTGAGGTACATGGCTTGTAATGGCTTATCACACTCAGACCTAGTGGTAAAATAGGGACCCTTTAAAGAAAAGTGGCCCAAGGCGGAAGATGGTGGTCGCGTGTGTGTGTGTGCGTGTGTGTGTGCAAGCGTGTATGTGTGTGTGCGTGTGTGTGTGTGCAAGCGTGTATGTGTGTGTGTGAAGGGGTGTTAAGTGGCACGCCGTGTCCTCTTACAGAGGTGTTAGTGAAAAGCGTCCGGTAGATGTCACGTGTCCCAGCAACCACTTTAGACATGCACACACACACACACACACACACACACACACACACACACACTTTTACTGCCAAAGGTCAAGCACTATACGACCATTTTTACCACTATTAGTTACATAAGTACTCAAAGTAAAAGATAACATTGCTCTCTCTGTGTGTGTGTGTGTGTGTGTGTGTGTGTGTGTGTGTGTGTGTGTGTGTGTGTGAACATGCCAGACAGTTGAGTGCAAGTCTCTGCATCACCTGAGGGGATGAGGAGATGTACTAGTGCGTGAAGTGTGAAACAACAGCCTCACCCACCAACACACACACACACACACACACACACACACACACACACACACACACACACACACACACACACACACACACACACACACACACACACACACACACACACACACACACACACACACAGTGTGGTGTGATGCTTCCAGTCGCAGACTTTGTCTGGCTAGGCCAGACAAAGTTTCATCTTTGCTTTGCTGGAGACCCAATAAGTGTCCCTAATAAAATTTCAATCCTGTGAGTACTGTGAGGTGCGTGCACGTGGAAACATGCACGTGTTTCGCTGTGATTGGCAGCGTTAATAATGCCATCTCGGAGAGTGTGAGGATTTTGCTCATTATGCTCATCATTAACTTCATCATTATCTTAATATTTTTTGTGGAAATGATTGATCACGACCATTTTGTTTACAATGACGTGAGCCTAATTTTAATCTGTTAACCACCAACAAAAGCAACAAAAAAAAGGCGAATATTTTCTTTTTTGATTGTCTTTCTCCAGCACCCTTAAGTGTTTAAATCAAATGGATTTTCAAATTTGTTTTTGCTCTATCAAATTGCAAATTGAAATGGAGAGAGATAAGGACCGTTGTGGTTAGACAGTGTAATAGAAATAAAGTGACATGTCATGCATGATGAACATAATTCTATTAGGCTTAACTTGTTGCCAGGGGGCAGCCATCTTTGTAGTGCGGTGATAGCGGGGATCAAACCCAGCATGTGTTTTGTAGTCCGGTGCGACCCACCTTAGCCACTACAACACTCACATGAACCCAAGCGCTGGCTATCAGGGAGGAGCAGGCAGTGAGCGGAGAAGATGTCTCTTGTAGTCGAGAGTTTCGACCAGGCAGAATAATGGATGGTTGTTTTGTCGGCCGGCTTTACTGTTTGTTTCTCCGTCTCGGTCAATCCTTCAACATGTAGAGTTAGTCCAGTCACGCTTGTCCCATGCACATTCACACACGCACACGACACACACACACACACACGCACACACACACACACACACACACACACACACACACACACACACACACACACACACACACACACATACACACACACACACACACATACAGCCTCTCACACTTGGGGTATTAGTCTTTTTGTTTCATCCCCTCTCTCTCTCTCTCTCTCTCTCTCTCTCTCTCTCTCTCTCTCTCTCTCTCTCTCTCTCTCTCTCTCTCTCTCCCTCACACACTCAAGCTTTCTCTATCGCTTTTCATTTTTACCTTCATCTGTGCCTGACTACATTCTGTCTCATGAAAACCCAGACAAACTAACTTTCTTTCCTCTCTCTCTCTCTCTCTCTCTCTCTCTCTCTCTCTCTATTTTCCCCCATTCTGTTGGTGTGCCACCACATCCTGACATTGGACAACTTATTTCAGTCAACTTATTTTGTCTGCCAACTGAATCCCGACATGCTACGCGTCCCTCCCTCTCTCGTCCCGAACCCACTTTCCTTCACTTGTCTTCACTGCCCTGTCCATGTCTGTTCTGGTTCTCCAGTGACGCTGATGCGTTTTTGGGTCCATCAGGTGATGTCAGGTTTGATTTCGGGCCAGATAGTCTCTTTATCACATTGCTTCACCTCCCAGTTGTAGCTGAAAACAAATCAAATACAACAAAAAAAAAGACATTCATTGGCGTCGGATCCTGGCAATACTTTTGAGTTGGCCTGCCCTCCGAGAGGCAGAGGAGGAGGTGCGTTTAAACGCAATTACACAAATGAGAAGAATAGCGCGTCCTCCTTTATTGGCGAACGGCGTCTGGCTCGTTTGTTTGAATCCAAGGGCAAGCAAATGCTGGCGTTATTATGTTATATTATTATTTCTGGTGTTATTATGTTATTTTTAAACAGCCAAGCGCGCTTCGTACGTCTCCAAAAACGATGAGCGGATAAAGGTGCTGAAGAGTCCTGAGCTAGCGCTTCCGCTACGACGGGAGCCAAGATGGCGGATTCGCTTTGTTGTTGTTGTTGTTGTGGCCGCTTTGTTGTCGAGTTGTCAGTGTTTCATAAAACCAAATAAACATCCATAGTCACTCAATGAGGGTTGAGATGAAAAAACAAGTGGGGGGTGGGGGGGGGGTTGGGTGGGATTTATTTGTGCACTTGAGCCCGTGCGCAATAAAGTTCAGCTTATCAGCAAGCATCAGGTTTATGGAGCTGTAAACCGATTTAATTTTTTTACAGTTTGCGAGTGTGTCATTCAGGCGTTTTAAAGAGGCGTCTGGCGGCGGCGAGCACGCGGCGTGCGCTGTGAGGCAGACGCCCTTCACGGACACGCTGCTGCTTTAACAGCCATCGGCTCCATTACACCATTGCCGTCTCGCCAGTGTGAAGTGGCTCTCAATGGTATCGTGAAGACCGCCTTGTTCTGTGTGTGTTTGTTCTGTTTTGTGTGTGTGTGTGTGTGTGTGTGTGTGTGTGTGCGCTTGCCTGGAGTGTCGACGGTCGGCGGCCGAGCCCCTGGTGTCTCGTTGTTGTCCTGCGATCTTCCGGTCGCATGCGACGGCTACTAATACAGGAGGGGAGGTGATCTGAATCCAGCCGACCGGCCTTAATCCTTGTTATCATATATGCACCACTGTCACCGCGTGCGTGTCGCTCATCCCGTCGCCCCTTTATTTCTCGACCCGCGCGGTTAACTTTACGAGGGGCCAATCAAAACAGGTTCTCTGGCGAAGCAAAAACGGGAACCGTCGAGCAAGGGGGT